GGAGTTGGGCGGCTCCTCGGAATGTAAGTGACTCCGGAGTAGGGAGACTAGGAAGTTGGCGACTCTCCCCCAGCGTGCAGAGAGGCGGTGTTTGTGGGGGGAGAAGTATGCTGGGCAGGTTGACCTTCCTGCCCCCTTGCCTTCCCTCCCTCCCCCCATCCCAACCCCAACCCCAAGCAAGGTCCAAATGAGGCAGTGCGAAAGGTGGAAATCTGCCCAAGAACATGCTCCGACCACAACGCCTTGAAAGTAGAACTTAGACTAACTCAACCCGGTTCCTTCAGATGGAGAATGAATGACGCCTTACTAAGAGATCAAGAGATTGTGAAAAAGGCCCAAAAAACGTTAAAGGACTACTTTGAGATAAATTTGAATACTACAGTAGAAAAAAGAACGATCTGGGACGCAAGTAAAGCCGTTATGAGAGGGTTTCTGATTCAACAAAATACAATTAAGAAAAAGCTCTGGAATGGAAAGAAGGACAAAATATTGGAGAAGATACATCAAGGAGAGAAAAAATTGAGAACCAAACCAAAGTCAAAGGAGGTGCTGAGAGAAATCAAATTCCATCAAGCACAATATTCTAAACTGATAAATCAAGAGATTGAATGGAAAATCAAACAGATGAAACAAAGATCATTTGAATCAGCAAATAAGTGTGGAAAACTGCTTGCTTGGCAGTTGAAGAAAAGACAGAAGCTAAATACAGTTACAAATCTAGAGATTGAGGGAAAAATGGTGCAGAAACCAGAAGAAATTAGGAAGTGCTTCCACAGATACTTTAAAGAACTCTACGCACAAGGGCCTCAGAAAGAACCCGAGATAGACCAATTTTTAAAGACAAATGGACTATCAAAGATAACCCAAGATAAAAGATCAATCTTGAACTCAACAATAACCTCACAGGAAATTGAAGGCGCCATTCAGAATATGCAACTAGGCAAATCTCCAGGCCCGGATGGACTTACCTCTAAATACTATAAGGCTTTGAAGGACTATTTGATACAACCTCTGTTAGAGGTTTGCAACCAGATTATGGAGGGGAAGAAGACACCGGAGTCGTGGAAAGAAGCCTTCATCACATTGATTCCGAAAGTGGAAACGGAAAAGAACCAACTTAAGAACTACCGTCCCATCTCACTCTTAAATGTGGATTACAAAATATTTGCTGACATTTTGGCAAGCAGACTTAAAAAGGTCTTAAATGAAGTAATTCATAAAGATCAAGCTGGCTTTCTCCCTGGTAGACATTTATATGAGAATACCAGGAACATCATTGATATTTTGGAGCTTTTGCAAACCAACAGGAACACAAGGGCGGTGTTAATTTTTATTGATGCGGAGAAAGCATTTGACAACATATCTTGGTTGTTTATGAAGAAAAACTTGGAAGGGATGGGAGTGGGACGGGGGTTTGAAAATGGAATACAAGCAATTTATTCTGAGCAGAAAGCTAAACTAATAGTGAATAATGTGGTGTCGGAGGAATTCAAAATTGAAAAAGGGACACGACAGGGGTGCCCTCTATCCCCTCTTTTATTCATTTCAGTCCTGGAGGTGCTATTGAACATGATAAGGGAGGACCGGAGGGTACAAGGGATAGAGGTCGGAGTGAAACAATACAAACTGAAAGCTTTTGCAGATGACTTAGTTTTGACACTGCAGGAGCCAGAACCCAGTACAAAAAGAGTTCTTGAACTTATATCTGAGTTTGGTCGAGTGGCGGGGTTTAAACTGAATAAACAAAAAACTAAGGTTCTGACTAAGAATTTGACACCTACAGAAACAGAGGGATTTCAGAGAGAAACAGAATTAAATGTGGTTAAAAAAGTGAAATATCTAGGGATTAATTTGTCTTCCAAAAATTTGAATTTGTTTAAAGATAATTATGAGAAATGTTGGTTGGAAGTTAAAAAAGACTTAGAAATTTGGTCAAGATTGAAACTGTCCTTGTTGGGAAGAATTGCGGCTATAAAAATGAATGTATTGCCGAAAATGTTGTTTTTGTTTCAAACCTTGCAGATCGTGGACAGAGTGGAATGTTTTGGAAAGTGGCAGAAGGACATATCTAGGTTTGTCTGGCAGGGCAAAAAGCCCCGAATAAAGTTCAAAATACTAACTGACTCAAAAGAAAGAGGGGGGTTTGCCCTGCCGGACTTAAGGTTGTACTATGAAGCTGCAGCCTTCTGCTGGTTGAAAGATTGGTTTTTGCTGGAAAATACTGATGTCCTAGATCTGGAAGGTTTTGATAATGCTTTTGGTTGGCATGCATATCTATGGTATGACAAGGCTAAGGCCCATAAATTGTTCAAAAACCACATTGTCAGAAAAGCAATTTTTGCAGTCTGGATGAAATATAAAGACTTATTAGAGTGCAAAACACCGAGGTGGCTATCACCGGTGGAGGCCAAGGCCCGAAAAAGACTCAATATGGAGGCCTACTGGCCGAAATATTGGGAATTAATAGAAAATATTGGAGACAATTGGAAGCTGCAGAGCCAGGACAAATTAAAAAATAAGGTGCGAGACTGGTTACATTATGCTCAAATTCAAGAAGTTTTTAAAATGGATAAAAAGGTGGGTTTCCAGGTGGAAAAATCGAAACTAGAGACAGAATTGTTAGAACCAAAGACTAAGACTTTATCGAGAATGTATAACTTGCTGCTTAAATGGAATACACAGGATGAGGTAGTTAAATCTGCCATGATAAAATGGGCACAGGATGTTGGACACAACATAATGTTTGAAGACTGGGAAAGGTTATGGAACACCGGAATGAAGTTCACGGCATGTACTGCCTTGAAGGAAAACATTATGAAAATGGTATACCGGTGGTACATGACCCCAGTCAAGCTAGCTAAAATATATCACCTGTCCGACAACAAATGTTGGAAATGCAAGGAGGCAGAAGGGACATTTTTCCACCTCTGGTGGACCTGCCCAAAAGTGAAGGCCTTTTGGGAAATGATACATAATGAATTAAAAAAGGTATTTAGGTATACCTTTTCTAAGAAACCTGAGGCCTTCCTGCTGGGTATGGTGGACCAGAAAATGTCAAAGAAGGATAGAACTTTGTTTATGTATGCAACTACAGCAGCAAGAATACTTATCGCAAAGAACTGGAAGACACAAGATTTACCCACGCTGGAGGATTGGCAGACGCAGTTGATGGACTACATGGAATTAGCTGAGCTGACTGGCAGAATCCGAGATTTGGATGAAGAAGTAATCGAGGGAGACTGGAGAAAATTTAAAGACTATTTGCAAAAACATCACAAACTGTATGAATCTTAAGTTAGTGCATGATTTAGAAATACTATGCTTTGGCAAATAGGATTAAGTAAATGTTAAAATAAGTGATAAAAAAGAAAAGGAGACAATTTGAATTGAACATGTTATGTTTATTTTAAAAGCATGGAAACTAAGATACAATATATTGAATTTGGATGCATAACAAATTGAAAGTTACAATAAGGTATGAAACAAGGTAACAAATTGCTGTCATTATCAAATCATAAAGAATGCAGTTCCGGAGGGTGTGGGGAAGTCCAAATAGGGAATGGTTTATATATCTTTTTTCGATTTGGCTTTTAATTTGTTTTTGAATGTAAAAGAAAAGAAAAATTGTTTCTTGTTTTTAATGTTTATGTGGTGTTTGGATTGTTTGAAGTTATGGAAAGGAACGCAATAAAAAATTTATAAAAAAAAAAAACAAATGAGGCAGTGCGGGCGCTGCATTCCCGAGTGGGGTATTGGGGCGCTCGCACTGCACGCAGGCTCCAGCCTGCCCAGCTCAGCGTCCAGTGGCTAGGAGCACAGCCGAGAGCAGCCGCCTTTTCCTCCTCTCCACACTCCAGTGCTGCTGCTGCATCCTGGTGCCGCCATGCCAGGGCTCGCAGGCAGCACCGCCCCGACCGGCTCACAGCTGCCGCTTTGTCATGCTGCCCAAAGTGGAGACAGAAGCTCTGGGACTCGCCAGGGTGAATGGGGAGCGTGGACAGATGCCGGAAAACATGCAGCCCCCTCCCACATCCAGTTAGCCACCTCCTTCCCCACCCGCACGTGTGCTCCTGAGTTCAACACCACTCCCTAGCAACTGGCATTTAGATGTGGCATCTTTACTCTCTGATATCAGATCTTAGTCCTAGGATTTGATGGTTCTTCCTCTTCATCCCGCCCCCACTGTCCCTCCACCCAACAAACAAATACTTCCTGCCAGAAAACCCTGGACTTTATTCCTCCCACTTGGGGGGTTCTGGCCTGTTAGGCCCATGAGCAGCCTCTTGTCCTTACCATATTAGCTGCCCTTTCCATTTTGCTTCCTCTTTGCTAGGTCATTCACCCTCCAGGGCTTCTTCTGGCCTTACATACATTTCAAATACCTTTTAAAAGTCTTAACATCTTGGTGACTTGGCACAAGGCCTGCAAAAAAGGGATCCATCTCCATATGCTGTTTTGCTTATTTTACCTTTGAGCATCTCTTGTGTCGAACCAGAAAGAGTCTTAAAAGTTTGTAAGTTTGTGGGGAATTGACTTAATAGAATACTAGGCATTGGGTTATATTTGTGTTCCTGATTCAATATTACTGTCATCTTTTTATTTAATAAAAAAAAACCATTACTGTCATCTTAATTTGTTTTCCTGATCACACATTTATTACACGTTCTCTGTACCAATAAGTCTAAACCTACCTAATCCCACCAAGCAGGTTTCATCAATAAAGTGATAGGAAAGGTAATTTTATATAATACTACCATATTCTTATAGTTTAATTTTTTTATCAGTGATTTGCTTTTAGCAGGTATGTGAAATGGCTTGTCCATACAAAAATGGTTTTTCCCTTAGATCACTTGAAATTGGAATTAGATATTATTTCATATGATTATCTGTATATAATAGGAAATTTATACTCCAGTTCTCTTGTTATATTTAATACATTGTGTCCATCTCTTTTATAAATAAAACCCTGAAAACTCAGTATTCTTATGTCTCTCTTGCAGACTCAAAATCGCATGAAATTGATGGCAGATAACTATGAGGATGATCACCTCAAATCGTCATCTCATTCCAACCAAACTAACCATAAACCCTCCCCAGATCAGGTAAGAACCCTGCTCTTTTTCTTTTTACAGTGATCCTTTACTGGTGTGTACTGATTTGTATATCTAGGACCAGAAGCAGCTTTTCCAAACGGGAATTAAAAGAATGAGCTTGTTCTGATTATGACATGGATTTCCTCGCTCTGGTATAAAATTGGAATTCCTGTTAGCAAATCATTAGATTTCATTATTTCAGAAGGACTAGTCTAGCAGAGGTTTGTTGGCATATCATTCTTAGCGTAACTCAAGTGAACAGTTATTTCAGATTGCTTCTTTCTATGAGACCTGTGTGCTCAAATCTGTGGCCTTATTGCTTGTTTGTAAGGGTGGCTGCATCCATGCGAGGAAATCCCAGCCTGTGCGCTAAATGATCATAGGCTGTTCCTGTACATGCTCAATGAAGCTTGTCCTAAAAGAGAATCAATTTACCATTTCCTATGCACAATTTAACTTCAGATGTCGCTGGCTGAACTGAGACGTGCTTGGAAACTAACAAGATGCTTAGCAAAACCCATATTCAGTGCAAGAGGACCTCCTAACTAGAAAGCTCTCGCCAGTACTGCAGCATTCACTAACTTAGTTAAAAATAAGAATAAACCTTATCTGGTTACCATCTAGCTTGCTAAGGTGAATACCTCACACATCTGCACCCTCTTGTAATTCTAAAACCAGCATAGAGGCATCCCATTTATATAAAAGTATGACTATGTTGTGCAATGATTATGGAGAGAAATGAAAAATGTAAGTGTGTTGAAAAATGCTTGCAATTGCCCACTGATGCAAAAATTATACTTCAGCCACTTCCCAAGGTGATATTAAGTGTGGGGGGGGAGCTTAGGGAGGCTTGGTGTGTTGTGTGTGCTTTCCTTTGAAGGACACAAAGAACAAAAACTCCCCACCACTTTCTATCATGCTAAGCTTTAAAATTAGAATCTAAGGGTCATCTAGTCCAACTCCCTGCAATGCAGGAATCACAACTAAAGCATCCCTGACAGGTGGCCATCCAACCTCTGTTTAAAAACTTCCAGGGAGAGAGAGTCCACCACCTTCCGAGGGAGTCCGTTCCACTACTGAACAGCTCTTACTGTCAGAAAGTTCTTCCTACCATTTAGTCAGAATCGCCTTTCTTATAACTTGAATCCATTGGTTCAGGTCCTAACCTCTGCAGCAGAGGAAAACAAGCTTGCTCCATCTTCCATGTGACAGCCCTTAAGATATTTAAGAAGGTATTTATTTCAAAGTACAGCCACCAAAGGAATCATTGTATCCTGCTTTATTTATTTATTTGCCAAGGGGGCGCGTTTCTAAAACCTGCAGTAGGGAACTGAGAGTCCTGCCTGAAAGCCATTTGAGGCTATCAGTAGTTGGAAACTTTCAAGCTACTATTTGGAGATGTCAGACATAACATTTCTCATGATGGAGCAGCATTGATATTGCAGATTAAAACAATGCTCTGCAGTTCTGACTTTCCTGGGGAATAAAAGGATATTTGTTTTGCACACTGAAAGGAGGCGAAGGGGCATTTCCTTCATGTGAAATATGATTGCAGCAGAAGGTAGTGATCTTATGAGATGAAGGCAAACTGTCACATGTAGAGAAGTTCAGCCACAATTACCAATCAGATGTGCCTTCAGCATATTTTAATGTTTAGAAATTAACTAAATCACCTAAGAATACTTATAGTGATTCAGGGTATTTGAAGATAGCAGAGTAGAAGATACAAGGAACTAGTGGCTATTTTTTCTCCCACTAGAACGTTTTTCTTTTGTGTGGTTTAAATACTAATCGAGTCTTTATTTCATTCCCATGCTGCTCTGGGGCTTTTCCCCCTTGTCTTCTCTCAACCAATAGGATGAGGAGGAGGGTATTTGGGCATAGCCAATCAGATGCTCTTAGTTCAGCCATTTTGTTCAGAACGGTGAGAATCAGCTTTCTTTACCAGTAGAAAAGTTTCCCATGGTCACTCTTGCATCTTGCTTCTGTGTGATTCATGAGGTTTGGGTGTCTTTCCTTTCCCTTTCTAATGTGGCCTCTGCATGTAAATGTTTTCCTACTTATTTGTATTTTTTATTTTATTTTTAATCTGTTAACTTGTTACTGTTTTGTGTCGTTGTGAGAATACACTCCCAGAGCATGTGGTTGGATTTATATGCAAGCAGCAGCATGATTCATGTTGTAAGAGGGAATGTTGCCATTATACTTTAGCAGTACAGTTTAACCATGGTAGCTAATATTTGCAATTAGAAAAAACTTTTGCTGTAAAGCTGAACAATCCAGAGGTTCTCTTTTTAAAAGTAACAAATCACTCAAATCACTTTTCTGCAGGATTTGAGCACGATGAACCATGCTGCTGATATTGCTGCAAGATTGTTGGGTGCCCCCAGTTACCTACAATGTTTGTTAAAGCAAATGAGGATTTGGAGAAGATTAATAGTAACTTAAGGGAAGAAATAGCTTTCCAACTTTTCTGCATTCTGCCTGAATTATTGTCTTGTTAAATATATTGTTGCATTGATCAGATCCTTCGTTCTAACTCAATTATGTAGGAAACGCACAGCAATTGTGATAGGGCCAAAGTTTTAATTTTACAACCTGTGAGTTGAATTGGCACTCCCTTTATTTGGGAGGGGGGAATGATTTAATTCATGCTCATTAGTGATCTCACGCCCCTTTGGAGTCTTTCTTTGCCATGTCTTTGTGTTTGTGTATGGTGTTAAAACTATTCAACATGATGGTGAAGAGTAAGTATCATGCTGAAGGATGCCAGGGAGCTGGGTGAGCTGAGAGGTAAGTTAATGAGGGGGAAGAGGAATTAGCTTAGAAGGCAGGAGCAGTTCAGACTCATTTACATGGTAAAATGAAAATACTGTGGCAGATGTTGATTAAAAGGAACTTCCATTTAAACACTGCATGTACAAAGAGGATAAAATTGAGGAAACATATGTGCTTCTCTGACAACAAAGTGTTTGCTCCTGTTACTTTGGAAGACAAGAACTGACACAACAGATAAAAGGGTAATGACATCACTGGGGCTTTAGTGGTTGTTTGCAACTTATTTGCTGTGGTATAACTCCTACATTTGAAATCTTAATAAAAGAGGCAAAGGGTAGGACATGAGGATGCAAGGAAAAGGAAGAGAATATGAATATTGGAATGGACAAGAGAGAAGATGGACCATCAGATCCATTACTGAAGTGTGAAAGTTGAAATCTTTAGATCTTTAGTATACTGATACAAAGTGTGTTGTGCCTATGCTATGTGTATTGTTTGTACAAAGAGTTTTGTCAATGGGCCCTTGCATTTGGTCAGCTTTCCAGTTCCTTGCTGTAGTCAGTATATAGTCAGTCACTAGGACAGAGCAGGTCAAATGCTCTATAGTAGAAAGGACTTGCTCCATCTGCCTGGGACACCCAAGGTGAGCTTCCTTACCTGTGGCTGCAAGTAGTTAATAAACCATGATGCTGTATCTTCAGAGATAAATCCAGAGATAAATGTGTACACCATAGGAGTCAAGTCAAACCTTACCATAATAGTTCCTTGATGTACTTCCTGTTTCAGGAGGAAGTACCAGCTGATGTTGAACGGCTGAGCCTGTACTAGTAAGAAACCCCTTAGCTCTTTAGGTCCTGCAGAGGCCCATCTGGGGATTGCTGTTCAATCCTGTCATCTCTCTTTGTGGTTACCATTTTTGTTATACTCCATGTGGGTAACTCATGTCCCAAGTGTTCCTTGCCAGGGCCTTGCCCTCCTCCCTCTTATGCCTAGTTATATTCCTACTTAGGGCCTTCATTCTTCCAACTTTTTCGCCATCAACCACACAGAAGCCTCTTACTCCCTTCAACAAGTCCGCCCCAACCTCATTCTCCATACCAACCACTTAGGCTTGGTAAGGTAAAGGTAAAGGTACCCCTGCCCGTACGGGCCAGTCTTGACAGACTCTAGGGTGTGCGCCCATCTCACTCAAGAGGCCGGGGGCCAGCGCTGTCCGGAGACACTTCCGGGTCACGTGGCCAGCGTGACATCGCTGCTCTGGCGAGCCAGAGCCGCACACGGAAACGCCGTTTACCTCCCCACTAGTAAGCGGTCCCTATTTATCTACTTGCACTCGGAGGTGCTTTCGAACTGCTAGGTTGGCAGGCGCTGGGACCGAATAACGGGAGTGCACCCCGCCGCGGGGATTCGAACCGCCGACCTTTCGATCGGCAAGCCCTAGGCGCTGAGGCTTTTACCCACAGCGCCACCCGCGTCCCACTTAGGCTTGGTACCACCATTAAAAAAAAATCAGAATTTACCTTTTATGTAATAATGCTCATTTAGTTGTAGTCAACTAAAATTTCCTGGCACTTTGAAGTCTAAATGAACATGAAAAGCCCTTAATACAGTGTGTTGAGTAAAAAGAGTTTTGGTTTTTTAAATTGAATTATGTCTATCACTCAAGGACAAGTTACAGGTAGGTAACCGTGTTGGTCTGCCATAGTCGAACCAAAAAAAACACCAAATCCTTCCAGTAGCACCTTGGAGACCAACTAAGTTTGTTATTGGTATGAACTTTTGTGTGCATGCACACTTCTTCAGATACTTCTTCTTCAGTGTATCTGAAGAAGTGTGCATGCACACAAAAGCTCATACCAATAACAAACTTAGTTAGTCTCTAAGGTGCTACTGGAAGGATTTTTTTTTATTTTGTTTCGACTCAAGGACAAGAACAAATAGTGTCATCATCGTCATCGTCGTCCCCCAGAAATAATAATAACTAGCAGTATGTTCAGGGGTTTTGAGTCTTAATCCCAACACACTAATCTTGACTAATCTTTGGATTCAAACTCAGGAAATTTAACAAAGGTTTTTTTACTTATATTTGGTCCATAGCGATAAAGTTGTAAAATTCAGCTCTCACCTTTACTATCTTACTCATCATAATGGTCATCTTGTGGAAGAATAGGCACTGAAAGCCACCATGATCTTTGTATGAAGAAAAAACTGAATAATAATTGTCTCTATGA